CCTTACAAGGTTGAAAGTTGAAACAGTTATTATGAGAAAGGCTAAATTGCCCCCTTATGCCGCACCCCACTGTTTGAGCTCATTGGCCCGCTATCAAGCATTAGTCGGTTTGAAAATAATCAACGAATTTCTACGACGCTAATTTTCAAATCATCCTAAGCTCCGAATTCAACAATTGAAAGCCTTGAAAGAATGGTCCCCAGTGGAGTGATACCTCAAAGGGCGCGTAAATCCTTCTCCCGTGAAAAGAAACTGATAAAAAAGTTATCATTGTTGATTTTCTTCGGTAAGCTCTCTTGTTCGACTTGAATTCAAAAATGTAGGGCTCTTTGAATGCCTGCTTGGTCCGCACTCATTGCGCCATCTGCGTCTACGCCACTTCTTCAAACTATGAGTTACAAGAAGGTTAACGATAAAGTGCCCAGCTTCAATGAATCCGTAATATGCGCCACGCATTCCACTTCCATTCACAATCAGTAGTAGTAGTAGTAGAATGCTATCTCCCCATACTTGTGATTGTGAAAGTGACTAGGGAAGCCAGCCAATGGGCAGATCAGTGTTTTTCCTCTATCAAACAAAGCCCTTCCGAATTAATCGACCCCAGACAGAGGGAAGGCTGCTTGGTCTGCATGGGTCCCTTCCGAACCGTGAGCGCGGTAAGCGCCACTTACCACCCCACCAACCCAATCCGATGAAGCTTACATTAGCTGGAAGACCGCATCGAATAATATAAAGCACTTAATTGAGGCTTTTTAGCAATGTTGCCACCAGTTTCATTTATAGAGCAGTGCAGTACTGCCGCCGTTGCAAAGCGTAGAACCTAGTTGCGGAGATTGTTCCCAGACGTGACCAAGCACCGTAAGGCATGACCGCTTCCTGCAGTGGCCATTTCCCTATACTCGCTCGAGACTGTCAGTGTGGAGCAAAATAATGGGAATGCCAAAAAATGGGTATTTATTGAGGCTTGGAAATGATTTAACGCAGGGTGTAGAGGGACTGCTAACACAATGGGTGGGCGTTGACACAAGGATCGACCACTCGTTGAGTAGATGCTTTCTGAAGTTTGGATAGAGGGTTGTGTTCGAGGTTCCCAGAGGAGGGGGTGACTGTGGGAAAAAACACGCTGAAATGAATGGAGTTTCACGAGCTGTGAAGAACCGGATATCACCCACCCCGCCCTCGACGTTAATTTTAGAACAATTTTGGAGCCGAGTGGAGTGTGTCAGGCTCAACTAGGTTCAGCGACCGCTACATCAACTACAGCGACTGATCATTAGAGGAGATTGCGTGGGGTCCCTTCCAAGGAACTCGTAAAAGCACAACATGACGGTCAACCCTGGTCGACACTAATAGAGCCTTTGAAATCTCCAGAGACGCCCAAATTGCACTTGGCGCATGCACGAGGGTAAAATTGTACAGCTCGTAATAAAAAACGCTGTCCTATTCGAATACGACGCCAAAAATCCTTCGACAGTTGTACAGGTTTAGCGGCTCGACAGCCTCGAGCTCTTTGTCTTTCAGGCAGGCTTACTTCAATGTAACTCCCCTTTCAATCCAATAAAGCTGAATGGGTTTTTGAACGACGCCATTGCCCCTCAGATGGAATTTCCGGATGACCCCACCAGCCACGAACCACCTAGCACGATTCTGAGTATAGCACCAATATGACACATGCGAGACGGCCAGAACAAGAACTTCCCCACTTGCTTAGAGTGACTCTCTCATATTTACAAAATGATAATCAAGTCAAGAGCTTGATGTAAGTGTCAAGGGGAACACTCTCGAGCTTAACATTTTACTTACTTATGGAAGGAAAAAAAGAAAAACACTTTTTCAACTTTTTCGCATTTTGTACAAACGTTTCTTTTTTGAATGTTGATAACCCTACGAGGTTCAAAAAGTTCCTTGGGAAGCATAAAAACAAAAGTACTATTCCAGAAGTATCACAAAAGTGTCGTTTAGGTTCCCACGTGCCCATATCTGCATTGCAATTTCAAAATTCAAATCAGCATGAGGCTTTAGGACAGCACAATCCTAACGTTTCTTATCAGAACATTGTACGAAAGACTTACACGACTAGCCGGGGAAGCATCAGATTGAACAATGATCCCGTTCGCAAGAAAGGGCAGCAAGATTGGTTGCGAGCGACCCGTTGATCAGCCGGAGATCCCATCACTCTTTCTAAGTTAGAGATGAGCGATTAGGCAGCTATGCAGTCCCGATAATCACAGCTATTATCATTAGCACAGCGCCCTACTTCAGGTTTGTTTATATTTACCCTTAACAAATGCAAAATCAGAAGGCAGTACCAATTATTTATTGGTAAGTTTTGATAAATACATCAAATAGAACAGAGTGACTCTTTAACAGAAGAAAATATACGAAGAACAAGGGCACCACACAGGTAGCCGATGAGAGTAGGCTTAACCATCACGTAGTATGATCACTTCAAATACCCATTATACAACACAGGAAATGTTCGTGAACATAAATTCAGTGAAATAGACAGCGAAATTCAATTCGCTGAGTGAAAACACTACTGTCGTCAGCGAACTGATTGCGTACAATCAGGAGAAGAAATACAAAAAAAAACTATAAATTAATAGAAAAACTCTGAACACATACCGATGACATAGAGCGCTATTACTATAAATAAGATAGACATTTCGATAGACCTAACCCTAATTAAACGAGATTAAGTTGTTTGACCACACTTGAATTGCACGATGAGCACATTATGTTATGCAAACACCCGAAACTGAAAATAATGAAAGCGATTTCATTCCACAAGGTCAACCACACCATATCATCATGTCTGAACCGCATCTCATTCTTATCGCCGGCATTAACGAATTGAGGGGGAAAGCTCTAGGCTGAGGTGACTGTGCTCCTGATTTAGCACTCTTCAATCGACCAAACAGCAAATGGCCATTACTAAAAAATCCTAGAAATTTGTTTTAATCAGAAACTTCGCATCAGCTCTATCGATTCACGCTGTTTGAAAACCACATCTACAAGAAGAATTAGCAAATGCACCAATTAGAAAACTTGCTACCCAACAGTCCGATCCAACGAGTCCCACACAAAGCATATGGACTGATTTGATTTATTAACATGCACAAGGTTCATCAAGCGAAGTTTAATGCTTATTCTGTAGAGATTCTAACAGTCAGACTGGAAAGAAAAACCTGAGGGAGGATGAAGGCAAAATCTACGAAGCCAGCTCAAACCCTAACGAAAGGAAGAGTTAGACGCCACAACTGACCTTGCATCACCATTTATACAGGGTACTTGGATTCTGGAGCCAGTCGATCAAGCACCTGAAATTCAGAAGGTGCTATTTGGTATTAACATGTGAAAACCACTATTGCGCAAGTATCTCGATACCATTTTTGCTTTTTTCTTCATCATAACTTTACCTCTCCGATGATTTCATTCATGAAAAATCGTTTTTGGAATTATGGCTTTTGAAAACATAAAGAATGTCATGCAACACGAGCACAGCGAGTTTCCAGCCTGATCCACTACTGGACACGCTACCGCCAATAAGTTGAAACAAATGAAAAGCGATAACAACGGAAAAATAGGAATTGTGAATTAAAAACTGAGACCTCTGTCAATCGGCTGATGACCCCGCAAGGTTCAATGAGCACAACCTATCAAACGAAGCCACAAGAGCATAATAAGTGCGCTGTTCAAGGAAGGCATGTCGTAACAAGCTGTTCAAGTGAGTTTTTCCCTGTGAAATTTTTACTTCGAATTATCTAAACAACTTTCTTGCAGAGCCCTTTCACCAATTCCACATCACTGTTCATCTCAAAATGAGAATTCCCAGAAAAATTGGCGCAAAATCAAGATAACGTTCTCTTGAGGGTTATCTACAGATTAGAGTTAAATAATAAATGGATTATTATGAGTAAATTGCCACACAAGGAACAGTCAGAAACGCTGTTCCTTATCCAAAATAAACTATCCACAGCAGGTTGCTTATCCGTTTGATTCCAGGAAAATACGTGATCGTGCTAACACCTGGTATACTTCGGAGCAGATTGACAATACCAGGAAGAAACCCGCTGAAATTCGATCATTGAAATCATTGAAAACTGAAAAACCAATAAACCAACGTAAGCTTACCCGAAAAGCAAAACGAATCCCCAGAATTCCAAAAATGATTCCAACAAGAGGCCAACCGAACAAAACAATGAAAATACCTAAAGAAGAAAAGAATGCAGGAAAAATCGGAATGCGTTGAAATGAGCCCCTTGGCTAAATTTTGCTGTCATGCAGGTTTTCCCGTCCAAACTCCGTTCAGTTTATTACTAGCGAGCGGGAGGCTTTACACATTCATAAAACTGCGCGTACATCTCTACTAAGCTATTTATCGATCTGCTGAGGGTAGGAAGTATTGTTCAGCATTAATTAGAATCTCCCAACTTGACACAACATGAGAAAACACATGGCTAAGGCATTAATTATGTGTCAAAACTCTCCAGGTAATCAGGGCATATCAAAGGTGGTGGTATGGTCGTGAAACATTGTGGTAAACTCCACTAGAGTGCTGAAAGATAAGCAGAGGCTTACAGAAGCATTTGCACCCTTCAAAAAAGCACACACCTTCAATTCTATTTCGAAAGACAACTGACCTCCGAAGAAAAGAATGCTCCCTTTCAGCTTGCGAACCTCGAAAAAGAACACAAGAGTCCGATGGATACCGATGACGAACGTTATTCCGACAATGAAGAGAAGCTGAAACATTACAATGAACATAAAAAGCCATAGTTCCACAGAAACTTTTCGTTATTTATCAACTTATAAGTGATCGCTAGTAATGAAGCTTCAGTGAACAAAGTTGACGTGCTCTTCTTGCGTTTTTAGCTCCTACGAAACCCGGTGTGCAGACGTAGCAGTCATTTGTTTAAGGTCTTAAAGCACCTAATGTTTACTAATGTTTCCCAAACTGAGCTACAGCATCTCATTGTTTCGAGGCGAACATTTGATCCACGTATCTGTTGGTGTTAATGCGATGTTTACAAAGACATTTGTGTACATAACACTACAAAGATTCGCATGTTCTATAGGAGACGGATTCTATGTAAACCTTTCGCCTTCATTTTCTACCATTCAGATAAAAAATGAGGGCGATTTAGTCATCCCAGCTGCGATGCCTTCACTTCTGCTCAAAAACAGCCCTTTCACAAATTTGAATTTCTTTACAATCATGTGATTTTGTAACTAGTAACGATTCTACAGGGTGCGCTATTAATATAGTAACACAGCATTTGTGACAGTGAAACATCTGAAAACACGACGAAACTCCGCATATACTAGCGGAACATAAGTGCTGTGAAATAGCTAGACAAGGTTGTCTCGGCACGATTTCACACACAGATGCTTCGAGTACCCTTCGGCAGCAGCAGGTGACATTTCATACCTTGACGGACAAAAAAAATTTATAGGGAGAGGAGTTAAACGTTCCGTCTCCCAAACGCTTGCCCCCAAGATTCATGAGACTGTGTAGGAAACTTAGATTGATTCCCACAAATCTCCAGTCCTCCTTTTGTATAATGATTTGGCCTTAAACCTGTTTTACCCGAGTAAAGCGCTTCCTTCTGCAAAAAAGGATGTCACGAAGCTTTGAAAGGTCCACATAAAGATTATTGAGTTTAAGACCACAGTCCTCAAGCCCTACACCTAAAATCTATATGAAATATATGGATCTATTTGAAAGAGTGCACCTTGCTCTTTGAAATGCGCTGCAACTGAAACACTAAAAAGTCATCAAACTCCAGAAAACTAAAGTATGGCGCAAGTTGCTAAAGAAACTCTACGTGTCGCCGTCGAAGCACATCCGAGAATTTTCCGAGCTACGGATCGTGCCAGAAGCAGCCTTATCTACGAACTCGCAGTACTTGTGTTCTTTTAACTGGAGCAAATATGCGTAAAATACCATCACGTTCTATACCGAATTGAGCTTTCTGTCCATAGCCACTTTGTTACCATAATTATTGCGCACGTTGCACTAACACAAACACTTGATTTGGTGAATCACCTATCGTCACTGCACTAAACAAGTGATGACAACAATTTCCTTATTTTGGAGAAAAAAGGCCCTACTTACATCTAGGAAAGTCTTTAACAATGACTTGGATTACCCGACCTAGACTTTTATTTTGGAATCTCCTCAATGCATACGAGAAAAAAAAACTATAAAAGCAAGAACTTACATTTCCTATAGCTAGCAGTGCTGCATCAAGGAACATTAAAATACCGAGAAATATGAAGAACACACCGAAAGCGGTGAGACCAACACCAATTTCTAAAAACAGTGTTTAAGAAGGGAAAACAAGTACAAAACGATAAAAGATAGCTGAGTAAAACTGAAGAAATACAAAACTCACGTTTGGTACTGCTGACTTCAAAATTCATCATCTTGGCGATGAATGAAGGTTCCGACGTGTACAACCGCTTGACAACTTCTCCAGAACAGTTTTAGGCACAGTATTCGATTCTGACACAACGGAAATGAGCACCATGCTTTCGAATGAAATCAATATTTTGTTTACAAACGAGTGTGTTTTCATGATTATATGATGCAAAACTGAGCAAGTATGTACCCGTTTTTGTTCGTAATTCAAGATTGAAGTTGAAGTAAGATTCAAAAAAAAAACTCAATAAATGAAGAGATTCGACCATTCAATTTATTTGGTGAACCCTGGTGAAAGCTGCAAGTAAAAGGTCGGAGATACGTCCGAAGATGAGAAATTGAATTGATAATGTGAAAACAACCAACCGAACAACTTCCTGCCGGCGCCTATGACGTGTCACGCAAATATGCGTACATTCCGCAAAAGCGCGTCAATTCAGGATCAGTAGCGTGGAGTTCTTGAAAGCAGCTCATTGTAAGAAGAAAGCGGCACTATTCAACTATTCCGACCCCAAAAACTCAAAATTTTATTTTTCGTCGAAACTTCGCCTATAGGGGTAATTCGGTGCCCTGATCACGAAAATGAGGTTCATTTTTGGCGCTGGCGCCATTTGGCGCCAAATGGCGCCAGCGCCAAAAATGAACCTCATTTTCGTGATCAGGGCACCGAATTACCCCTATAGGCGAAGTTTCGACGAAAAATAAAATTTTGAGTTTTTGGGGTCGTAATAGTTGAATAGTGCCGAAGAAGTTGCTCACAAAGTGATGGCAAAATAGCCTGGAACTCAATTGGATGTGACCCGAGCTACGAATTTCCGGTCAGGACAGACAACACACACACACACACACAGACACACACACACACAACCGCTTAGCGGATTATATATAGTAGGATCCTGAAAAAGGTAAAACCCACTTGCTAAGGAGCGAGAACTTCTATAAACTGTGCATCTGATATGTACATCAAGGCGTGGTGAACACACAGCAGGTCAATCCGCGTGGATTAGCTTCGGCCAGAGACCGCGGCTGTCCAAATTCTGCGTCAGTGGCCTTCCTGAACGAGGGTTCTTCTCCAAGCTGTACTCCCCTGTGTAATGAAGATATCCATCCATTCCGATACCTCTTGGCTGACAATGACAATGAGTAGTATCACAATGCACAGTTTACTCCCGGCTTCGATCGGTGTGTGACTTTGTGTAGAGGTTCCCGAGTGTATAGTTTCCGTTATGAATTACTGCACGTTATGCCTTCTCAAGGCCCATGTAGATATAAGTAGATGTTGCTGAGACCGCCGTCACACTCGGCGACGGACAAGCGATGGAGCGATCGCGATCGATTGCGCAATCGCTTGCAAACTGCACAACCGACGGGCGATTGGCCCTGCCCCCAATCGATGCAGTCGGCGTGCCGATCGCTCTTGGCAGAGCGATTGCAACGCGATGGACAAGCGATGGAGCGATCGCGTCGCCCCATCGCTAGTCCGTCGCCGACTGTGACGGCGTCTGAAGGAGCTCGTGGTATGAAATCCAAAAAACGCACGAACTTCCGAGGCAACCTGATAATAAGACCGAGAACCGGGAGGCGGCAATTCGCATTTACTGCACTCAGTCACGACATACGGATACATCTGACTACTGAACCAAATGTGTATCTGTGGCTGGAATCTCTCCAAGCAAAAAACTTTTCCTATCTGGAAGTTAATCTTCTCGAACACGAATTTGAGTAGTGCACCAGATCAAAGAATTCTGTTCGTGGCGCTTGGCAATATGTACTTTGATCAAATTTTCCGTCGGCCATGTGAAATAAATGCAGCCCAGAAGCTAACCACAACGCCTTAATGCCAAGAGCGGTCATTTATGAGACGCTTAAGGTCATCTGGGTTCGAAATGTATACAGTGTGACTGAGTTTGTCTTCACGAGAGTTCCTGATGGTCTACCAATCAAATGATGTTGCAATCCCATGTCACTAGGAGAAGACCTCAGATCTATATGGGTCGTGGTTTGCTCTCGTAGATATGGATTTATTTACTGTCTTGACTGCTCAATCTCGCGATGTCTGAAGGCCACTAAGCTACGACGAATTACGACACGGAGACGCGTCAAAATGAAGCACTCAATACTCAGGCCACTGAGGCACGGCGAACTCTTGCCACGAAATTGCAAATAGCATCGCCACTAAGGCACTGAAAAGAGTCCTAAAGCAGCCTGGAGACACCTGCAGATGCTCCAGGAAGCTGCAGCTGAAGACCAAAAAGAAAGGAATGACCTCTAATCCTCCCGCCCTTTAACTTAGGTGAGAGGATTCGCGCGCAATCTTCATCTTAAAGATTCCATGACCTTCCAACTTTAACACCCTTCGTTTTGCGGGCGAATTTCTGGGACGCCGCTCTCCTCTTCTCCCCAATCTAACACCCTTCCGATGCCTGTGTTACTCAATCGGTTTTATACTTAGGATGACTATTTGCGCTTGCATAGTGGAAATAGATCATCATTTTTACTAAATGAATGCTCATTTTGTGGTGTGCGAATCAGTTGAGTGGGTTCGGGAAGAAAATAGCAGGAACGATAATCTCTGAAGTAAATAAGATTGATCATGGAAAAACAAAACAACCAAGGCTTGGGTAGGGTTCATTATCCGTCAGTTACTTGCCTACAGTTGGTGGTTGTGGACTGAGGGAACATCTGAGCTGTAAGTTTGTGGAGCAGTTTCCGATTCGTTAATAGAATTAAGGAATGCCTGTTCAGAACTGCAACTGGTTACCAATGCCGTATACGCACACGACCTTCGTGAAGAATCCCAGGGTAGTTTTAGCTCAGTATCATCACTTTGCAGAACAGTCTTCAACCCCGAACTAGTTAATCAACGCACAACTGCAATAGTGTGCGTTAGATAACAATGCATCCTACAGTGCTCATCTGAGGGCAGTGATCACGATGGCTGGATGGCGGTGTGGTTCTAATGACCATGAACGTCACTGTTGAACTAGATCGCTCAGAGTTGGGATTTGTTTGGAACGCCTCTTATCGCCTTTACCATGACAATTCATCAAAGCCGGCACCTCCCTCTAAGCCGTCGCCGATCACGCCCTTGAGCTCGGCTTCAGCCAGAATATGTCGCATCTCACTACCTCGATTGCCAGCAAAGGTGGTACTGAACATTGACAACGTCCCAGTCGATATCCGAAAAGTTGGGTATGGCGGTCAGCCGAAGTGATAGCACTTACAGAAGTTGCGTTGAAAAGCTGTTTGGCCAGCACTTGCTGATATCCAACGTTACATATTTTTGGTAACAGGCTGTCACATAATCTTCTATTCTGCCACGTCACTTCAGTGACGCGCCTACCCAGCCTCGATATCGAATAAATGTTCTATCCATTCCACGCATCATCTCATAATGAGCATTGCGAAAATGGGGTTCGGAGTCATTGTTTCACTAATCCTTCTATTTTATAAAGCGCTAACTTTGTGTGTCGGTTTGTATATCTGTATGTGTGTGTGTGAAATGTATTATACTCGATATCCGATAGTTGGGGTAGGTGTGGCACCGGAAGTGACGTGCACTTGATAGAAGTTGCGTGGATAAGCTGTTGCCAGCATACATCGCTGGATATCAGCAAAGCATGCTGGAAACAGCTTATCCACGCAACTTCTATCAAGTGCACGTCACTTCCGGTGCCACACCTACCCCAACTTTCGGATATCGACTGTATGTGTGTCCGTCCGCAAAATGAAGTGAGTGAGAAGGAAGCTCATGGGATAAACAAACCGCTAACAAATCGGGTAGCTTACAGGATTTGAGATATCAATGTTTTGTAGCAGGATAGTTGTGATAACACTCTTAGGGCTATATAAACACCTGCTTAGCACACTTCCGTTCATTCCACATGGTGCTGCAGTGGCAGCTGGAGGGCAGTGGAGAGAGGAAGGGAGGATGAGGGGGAAGCGAAAAATCTACCGTCATATCATGATTGTGTCCCTTCTACTGTATGAAACACCATTGTGTTGCATACGCGTCACTTCCAGGAGGTGTTGGTGTCACAGGAGGAAGGGACCATAGCGGAGGATAGAAAGCTTGCGCAGGAAAGGAAGGTCCCGGCGGTTGACGGGGGACTAATCTGGTTGCATAATGGAGTAAAGCGAAAGTGGGTCGCGTGTTCACCTCTTATGTTATGAATACTCAACGGCAAGCGGCTGTGTCTCGTTACGATGCATCATAGCAGTGCTACTTACAATAGTAGAATTGCTGCACCCAATTACAGGGCGCGATTATGTTGTGTTCGCATAGAGAACAGGGATGATGGCACTATATGCTCTCTAACTTTGCAGAACGCTATTGCCGTTCCCCTTTTTGTGACCACACTTTCGTTTGGTTTCCCATGTTTTGTGCTAGAGTCAGCTGTTTGAAGTGCCAGAAGGAGGCTAGTCGTTTCGTGGGGGCCGCTAATAAAGAGGCAGGTTCTAGGGGCAAGGACAGGATGAAAATAGAGGAGTGCTGGAAGATCGGTACATGTTTCAATGCGCAGACGCTTGCATCCGGAACTTTCATCAAATATCTCATGCAAGCAGGAGGAAGAATTAATCACGACGCCATCGTAGAGCTTGACACGAGATTGTACCGCGAGCTACCCAATTCCTTCGACGCTGGTGAAAAACTTAATATGAATACACGACAGTAGAGGCGTTGGGGCTGTGGATCGTCAAACGCTTGGTCATCCCTACTATATAAAACGCTATGTCTGTCTGTTTGTGTGTGTGTGTGTGCGTGTGTCACGAAATTCATAGCGCGCGTACCAGCAGTCGTCAGGAGTTGATTTCAGGATATGATATAGGGGTGGGACGGGAACATATTTGGTGGGGAAAGAAAGTGATAACACTGATAAGGGCTGATAAGGGGCGTTAGAACGCGGAAGTCACGAAATGCATGGCGCGCGACCCAGTAGCAGTGAGGCGTTGTCTTCCGAATATGATGTAGGGGTGGGACGGGAACATATTTGGTGGGGACCAG